GTTCACTCTACTTCCCTGTAAGCTAACCACCCTCCCCTCCTCCCTTCAATCACCGCTTGCAGAGCCAATAAAGTCATTGTTGCTTCACATTCATGCATTCTTTATTCATTCATCACACAAATAGGGGGATGACTACTAAGGTAGCCCAGGAGGGGTGGTGGAGGAGGGAAGGAAAATGCCCCACAGCACTTTCAAAGTTTACAACTTTAAAATTTATTGAATGCCAGCCTTCTGTTTTTGGGCAATCCTCTGTGGTGGAGTGGCTGGTTGGCCGGAGGCCCCCCCACTGCGTTCTTGGGCGTCTGGGTGAGGAGGCTATGGAACTTGGGAAGGAGGGCAGTTGGTTACACAGGGGCTGTAGTGGCAGTCTGTGCTCCAGCTGCCATTGCTGCAGCTCAACCGTACACTGGAGCATATTGGTTTGATCCTCCAGCAGCCTCAGCATTGAATCCTGCCTCCTCTCATCACGCTGCCACCACATTTGAGCTTCAGCCCTGTCTTCAGCCTGCCACTTACTCTCTTCAGCCCACCACCTCTCCTCCCGGTCATTTTGTGCTTTCCTGCATTCATCTGTGCTTTGTCAGTGTGGGAGGACAGCATGAGCTCAAAGAACATTTCATCTCGAGTGCGGTTGTTTTTCTTCTAATCTTCACTAGCCTCTGGGAAGGAGAAGATCCTGTGATCATTGAAACACATGCAGCTGGTGGAAAAAAAAAAAAGGGACAGCGGTATTTAAAAAGACATTTTATAAAACAGTGGCTATACTCTTTCAAGGTAAACCTTGCTGTTAATATTACATACATAGCACATGTGCTTTCGTTATAAGGTCGCATTTTGCCTCCCCCCACCGCGTGGCTACCCCCTCAACCCTCCCCCCTCCCTGTGGCTAACAGCGGGGAACATTTCTGTTCAGCCACAGGCAAACAGCCCAGCAGGAACGGGCACCTCTGAGTGTCCCCTGAAGAAAAGCACCCTATTTCAACCAGGTGACCATGAATGATATCTCACTCTCCTGAGGATAACACAGAGAGATAAAGAACGGATGTTGTTTGAACGCCAGCAAACATACACTGCCGTGCTTTGTTGTACAATGATTCCCAAGTACGTGTTACTGGCCTGGAGTGCTAAAGTGTCCTACCATGGAGGACGCAATAAGGCTGCCCTCCCCAGAAACCTTTTGCAAAGACTTTGGGAGTGCATCCAGGAGAGCCGCGAATGCCAGGGCAAATTAATCCTTTCACGTGCTTGCTTTTAAACCACGTATAGTATTTTAAAAGGTACACTCACTCGAGGTCCCTTCTCCACCTGCCGGGTCCAGGAGGCAGCCTTGGGTGGGTTCGGGGGGTACTGGCTCCAGGTCCAGGGTGAGAAACAGTTCCTGGCTGTCAGGAAAACCGGTTTCTCCGCTTGCTTGCTGTGAGCTATCTACAACCTCATCATCATCATCGTCATCTTCTTCGTCCCCAAAACCTGCTTCCGTGTTGCCTCCATCTCCATTGAAGGAGTCAAACAACACGGCTGGGGTAGTGGTGGCTGAACCCCCTAAAATGGCATGCAGCTCATCATAGAAGCGGCATGTTTGGGGCTCTGACCCGGAGCAGCCGTTCGCCTCTCTGGTTTTCTGGTAGGCTTGCCTCAGCTCCTTAAGTTTCACGCGGCACTGATTTGGGTCCCTGTTATGGCCTCTGTCCTTCATGCCCTGGGAGATTTTGACAAAGGTTTTGGCATTTCGAAAACTGGAACGGAGTTCTGATAGCAAGGATTCCTCTCCCCATACAGCGATCAGATCCCGTACCTCCCGTTCAGTCCATGCTGGAGCTCTTTTGCGATTCTGGGACTCCATCATGGTCACCTCTGCTGATGAGCTTTGCATGGTCACCTGCAGCTTGCCACGCTGGCCAAACAGGAAATGAGATTCAAAAGTTCGTGGTTCTTTTCCTGTCTACCTTGCCAGTGCATCTGAGCTGAGAGTGCTGTCCAGAGCGGTCACAATGGAGCACTCTGGGATAGCTCCCGGAGGCCAATACCCTCGAATTGTGTCCACAGTACCCCAAATTCGACCCGGCAAGGCCGATTTAAGCACTAATCCACTTGTCAGGGGTGGAGTAAGGAAATCGATTTTAAGAGCCCTTTAAGTCGAAAAAAAGGGCTTCATCGTGCGGACGGGTGCAGGTTTACATCAATTTAACGCTGCTAAATTCGACCTAAAGTCCTAGTGTAGACCAGGGCTCACTTTCTATCTTTTGGGTCACCTGATCTCTCTCTGTCCTTCTCTAGCTTCCCCTACACTCACTCTTACTTGTCTTCTGTGCCTCAACACACAGCTCCAGGAAAGGCACATATGGATTCATCAATGCCTGATGCCTAACACACCCAGGAAAGTGCTCCTGGGAGCCTTAGAAGGAACACTAAGCCCTCTAGGGGAATCAGAAATTCTTTCTTCTAGGAGATGAGAGATCAGACAGCAGCTCCTTCCCATCAAGCTACCATGACCAGCAGCAGCATTTGTCCTCAGCCCTGCCATGAGACCAAGGGCCACCCAACCACCCCTTGCAAGACATGTCTTCAACTGTTTCAGAGCAACTAATTAATCAAATTTTTTAGATTTGTTGAAGGTTTTCTCTGTGATACATAAATATAGCTTCCAGTGTTATTTTCCCCAGTGCTTGTTGCTCCACGAGAAATTTCTGGTTTTTGCTAGAAGACCCTGTGGCAGAGCAGAGGATTGCTGGGACTGCAGAGTTACTATCAGCTGCAATCTGAGCTCTGGTGTTCCTGGTCCAGAGCTGGGGAGGAGGGAATGTTTGTCAGACTCTTTTTCTTTTTGCTTGTTTTTGTTAAAACCTGTTTAACTCAAAACTCCTGCTGAACAGTTGACAGAAGTTCTACATCTCCACTCTTCAAGTTAGAGCTGGGAAAGTGGCAGCTCTTATTTCATCTCATTATGCTGTCCCCATCTCTCTCACTCTGATTCTGTAATAAACTCCATGCTCCTATGGAATCCTATTGACTTCCAGGGAACTCTGAACAAGCTGAGTCATCTAGCTCCACAAAGCCGCTTGCAGGGTGGAGGCCTAGTTCTCCAGAAAACAACAGCCGCCCAAGGCACAGTTTGATATTCCTTATATTGTTAAAAAACAAACAAAGGTCGACCCTTTTTCTTAACTCTTCGTAAAATCTTTGAGACCACCCTTATGTATCATGAAGACGCAGTAAAGGGGACGGCTGGTGTCCCTGACTTCCCCTCGCCCTGCAGATAAATCCTTGATTTGCATGAAAAGCAAGTGACAGATGTGAGGCAGGATATGCCTAGTGGAAATTCCAGTAGAATCCACCTGCTGTCCTATTGGTTTCTACTGATCTCTTTTGGTTTTTACTGTAGAGCAAAAAATCTGTTGCCTGGTTTTAAAAACTAAGGCCCAATCCTGAAAAGATTAATGATGTTCTTAGCTTTTCCCTTGGTGAGCAGTGCTACTGAAGCCAAAGAGACCACTCACAGTGTATGATTCAGCATGTGTAGGAGGATTTGTCTACATAGGGGGTTATTCCAGAATTTCCCAATTAACTTCATGTATGGATGCTCTTATTCCGGAATCAGAGCACCCAACCACAGAGTTAATTCGGAATGGTTAATGCATTTAAAATTCGCATCCTACCTTAATGGTCATGCGTTGACAAACCCTAAATCTTTCAGTATTGCCAAACCCAAATATTCCAAAATCAGGAATCAGCCCTCAAAAATCATGAGATTGGCTTACAAGACGTTAACAGTTAAAAATAATACGTTGAGTTCTTTGAATGTATCTTTTGTGCAGGAAACTTTCATGAATGGATTTATGTTTACAACCTTTTCTGTGCAGCTATAAGGGCTACTGTTTTCTATATGCTAGCCACAAGGGCTAAAAAAGAAAAACTCAGATTCTCAGGTATAACATGACTCCATGCCTTGCGAGCTAAAATGACCCCCCCCAATCATGTGACTTGTAGTAAAATAATGAGATTTGGCAAAAGGAGACTCTTCGCTGGGGGCTTACATGTGAGCACTAGTGCCCACGTGTGGAGAGTGAATCATATGCATCAGTGTTTGCACAATCAGGGGCTATGTAGTTCCAGATGGAACCACTCTAAAATAAACCAGCTGAAAAACGTCATTCGAATTTTCCACTTGGGGTGACAGACTCCATCCTCATACTAGATTAATTTGAAGGCAGGTTTTACAATATCCGCTTTTATGATGATGGGTTTCATTTGTTTGTTTTTGTTTGCAATTGCTCTTATTCATGTTGTCATAGCCTGGGAGACAGCTCTGTAGTTAGCAAACAATCATGCAAATAACACAGAGGAAAAGAGGGCGAGGAGAATATTATTTTTTTGAGCTGAGCGTTGTGGAGCTCAGAGATGGGCCGGAAACACAAAGCCCAGCTTCAGATCGGCGTCAGCATTTTGAACCCCACGATTTTTGAGGCTCTTCTGACCAACCCTGCATGTAATATCACACGTGCGTGATTCTCACTGAGTTCAGTGGGATGGCTTCTGTGCTTAAGTGCACAAGTGTTTCCAGGATAAAGGTCTTGGGTTCGCATGTTACCGGGACGGGGTAAAAAAAAAGGCAAAACTTCAGAACTTAGATCAGGGGCTGGATTCCAGTCTCCTCCCAGCTACTCCAAATGTATGGATTTAGGTTTGAATGTCGGGTTGAACCTTCCCCCCGATTATTTCTGCATCGATTTTTCATAAAAAGTACAGCGCGTCTCATTAAGCTTCAGCAAAACTCCCAGTCGTGTACTGTTACGCAGCTGCTTTAACGGGAACAGGTCAGGGCGGTGATTTCACCTCCCCTGCGACACACACACCACGGGGGTAAAAGCGACCGGGATCGAGCGGGTCTGAACACCAGGTTAGCGCGAACGCGGCTCCGCTCCCCCGATGCGGGGAAGGATACGGCCAGTAGGTGGCGCTCGGGTCTGCGGAAAGCCTGAGCGCAGCGGCGGGCGCTTCGGAAGCCTGAGCTGCCCGCTGCGTCCTCCCCTCGCGGCTGCACTTTGTTCCACGAGCAGCCGCCGCCGCCGCCCCGGGCTGGAGAAAGCCAGAACTGGTGGGGGGAGCAGCGTAACCTGGGTGCCTCCTTCCCCGAGGCTGCTTCTCTATGCGCCGGAGAGAGCCCTCCTGGCGGGGGGTCACGCCTTGGCCACCTCGCGCCTAGGGCTGGGGGGATTTCCCTGCCGCCCTCCCCTCCAGCTCGCCCCCTCTCCCCAACCCGCGCAAGGGGAGCCCGGCGGCGGCACATCAGCTGCTGCCTGCAAGGGAAGGAAAACAACCCCTCCAAAGGTAAGAGGCTCCCAAAGGCAGCAGCAGGGACTTGTGGCGGGCTGGAATGTTCCCGGCTCATCGGGTCCCCTTTCCGTGCTCCTTTAACCCCGCCACACACACACACACACACACACACACACGGGGGGGGGGGGTTTGTTTTTGCAGGTGTGCCTGTTTTTTAATATGGCGAATTGCAATGTCCACTGTCCCCCTCCCTTCCCCCGTTTCAACTGGTGTGTGTGTGTGTGTGTGTGTGTGTGTGGGGGGGGGGGGGGGTACAGACTGGAAGCCCTCAGGCTGGGAGCTTTGAGTGCGTTAGTCCTTCAGGATCTGCCAGGGGACTCCTTCCCCAGCGTAGTTCAGACCTATGCTATCCAAGCAGAGGGAGAGGGGTTTTTTTTTTCTGTCCCCCCCCCCCCTCCCCCGTCAGGGTGTTGGGGAGACAAACGCTGATGTGTCTCTAATTTTTCCTGGTAACTTGAGCTGCAGCTGCCACACCTGCTCTCTGATCTTGTCAGCTGGGCTTCCACCACGGGATTTTATTGTCTCCCTGGGGTAGAGATGCTGTTTGAAGTACTGGTACCTGTGTGTTAACGACTTCCCGCCCCTTTAGGTAAGGTGACCCGACTCATGTTCTCAATTTGTCAATATCAGACAATGTCCTAACTAGGGGGATTTGGGCAAGAGGGGTTAACAGTGTAAGACTAGTGTATCTGTTTTCTCTGTGCCCGTCCCCCCTTTTAGCAGGTGATTTGGCTCTTCTTCATTATAGTGCCACTTTCTGGCTTTTCTGAAGGCAGCTCTTCTTGTCTGTGACTGGCAACATTCACTCTTTTTTTGGTAGGATACCTGTGTCTGTCCCACTCCGTTTTACTCCTTTTTTGTCTCTGATCTTCTCTTTTCAACCCTTTCCCCCACTCTTTGCTAAATTCTCTTGGCATTCCCTCCCTCCCTGCTTGGTCTAGGCTCTAACACCTGTGGTGGTCTTACTTAAGTGATCCCCAGCAGGACTACGTACACCATGATTTCCGAGGGGGATGAATATTTTTGGATTGTGAGTGAGCACCCAAAAAGCAGCTGGGAATAAAACCTGGCTTAAAAATGGTTAATAGCAACCATAAAAATAGCTAGAAGGACAGATGTTACTACTACTACTTCGTTGTTCTCCTCCCTTTCCTTAATTTTAGTATCATGGTAGAGCAGATGAAATATGAATAAAGATGAATACCTTTTGCTATAAACTGCAGCCATAAAACCCCATTGACCTCAATGGGATTGCATATATATAAGTAATAGTGGAATTTTCATTTAAAATGAAGTACAGAGGAGGAACTAATGCTCTTTGTTTTCTATATGATGAAACTTGTGTTCAGATGTACACTCAGTAGGGGGTTTTCTGACTTTTCCATAGCGTGGGCAACATCTTAACAGGGTGTGTCTTGTACATCTTCCCTCCCATTTCTGATCATGCTGCCCTTCCCTTTCCATTTGCCCTTGCACAACATCCGATGTCAGCTACCAAAACTGCGTATGTGGGAAGGTAATGTTAGCCAAACATTTGTGTACTTAGCAGCTGGAAATGAGGAGAGTAAGCGCCATATGCCCAAGCACCTCTCCATGGAGCACCGGGGCAAGTGCTTCACGGACCATTGTTTGACTACTGCTGCATTAGGCTGTATGTGAGATGAGTGTGGCATTCTCAGCTTAGTTTTTAATTACCAGTAGGGGACCTGAGATATTTTTAAAGGTTCATGTGACATAAGAAAGGTGCTCTGCATTCTGTCTTGGTGTCCATGCTGTTAATAAAACTTTTGTATCGACAATGAGCAGGTTTGGTCTAAGGACATCATGGAGCTAATTGCCAGGTATATTCTTTGTACAAGGACTGTCTTGTACACGGCTAGTGAATAAGTGTTGTTGGCAGATTTGTATCTTTAGTCAGGGTAACATGATACTTAATTCAGATCTCCACTTGGGCAAACGCACTTCTGGCTTTTCTTTTTCGTATATTTTTATTTTATTGGTGTGGACTGTATTAACACAATTGTCTTTGAACATTATTTTTATTGTACAACAAGTTATGAAACCCTCTAGGATTACACTATAGGGGTGTGTGTGTGTATATATATGTATATACTATGAAGTTTTTGTATCTGACTCTTCATGGTCTTTGATCTAAAATTTTTGGAATAGTTGTATCTGACAGATGCAATTGGGAAGAAGTAGATACAAATAAATATCCAATTAGAAGGAATACACTGTGATTGAGAGTTACCAGGACATACATAAATTATTATATAGAATGAACAGTTATTCTAATGATACTCTCAGTTTTAATCTCTGCATTTTGCAGTAATTTCTTTCAGTCAGATGTTAACTTCACACATGAAATATGATTTGCAGTCCAGCTGGAAATGTATCGTAGAATATCCGGGTTGGAAGGGACCTCAGGAGGTCATCTAGTCCAACTCTCTGCTCAAAGCAGGACCAATCCCCAACTAAATCATCCCAGCCATGTAAAATCTCTTCTGTTAATTGCAGCATTTTTTTTCCCTGTGGGTGAAAGTTAAACACATAAAGTTAAATAATTGGGGCCTCCAGAGCCTAAATATATGAAAACTTCTCCCTTTGCAACTGCAGTGGAATAATAGAAAACTCGAAGGCACACATAGTAAGGACTGCAGTTACAGAATGCTTGCTTTCTTTTCAGTGACTAGTATTTGCTTCTCTATCATCCTTCTCTCAAGTCCTGTGTCATCCAGTAAACTGGGAGGCCTTGTGTCCTTGGTCCTCCAACGTTTTTCTTTGAGTATTACAGAATCTCTTCTCTTTAACCTGAGTGGCTGGTAGCCAGCAAGAAAAGTGATTTAACGCCTTTGAACAATGCTGTCTCAATCCTCCAATTAGAAAAAGTTCCAGTGGTGCTTTACACTGCTGTGTGTATTGATTTTCCTGAAACGGCTGGCGTAGACCACCTTCATGTGGTGAGGCTTGTTTTTTTATATTTTCTTTGGTACAAAATTTTCTTGCTGGCTACCAGCCACTCAGGTTAAAGAGAAGAGATCCAAAGTTTTCAAACATCCTGGTTCTGAATTGGTTTTCCAAGTATTCTATGCAATGGTTTGCAACTACACTGCTTTTAGCCATCTTTTTGATGTGTCTTTATTAATGTGTGTTGCAGTTATCAATGGCTTTAACCTTCTTGGAGCTTTTACCTTTTCATTGTTTTCCCTATTGCAGTCTCTGATTAAATGGTCTCTGTCACTTGAAAATCACCTTTTTGCCTGAAAATCTTGTACTTACTATAGTTATGAGGAATAGCTATGTTTCTGATCCTGCAAACATATACACTTATTAAACTTTAAGCAAGTGAGTGGTTTTGCTTAAAACAGTAGGACTGCTGGTGTGCATAAAATTAAGCATTTGTGCAAGTGTTTGCGATACTGAGACCTTTGGTTGCTCTAACTGAAAGATTAGAGAAAATATGTTTTAATATGTTTGTACATTTGATAACTTTTTGTGCAGAGTCAGTTTTGCTGTTCCCCTGTAAAATTAGTAATTTTCTTCCTGGTTGAAAATATCTCAATTAACATTCATGTGGGAGCAGAAAAACCCTTCTCTTCTGTCCCCCACCCCCCACCATGTTTTTTTTTTTAAAAAAAAAATCCAGGATATACAATCCAAAAAGTGCTGTGTCAGAAACTAGTCAGTTTTAAAAAAAATAGACCTTGTCAGGTTGAACTTGGAGCTTATCTCCATTTTGATCTGAGACCCGAATTCCCACAAAGTCTAATGCATGTACAAGATGTCCTAAATAGTCTCATTGCGACGAAACTGCTCACATGCTTAAAGTTAAGCACTGTGACCCAAGAACCCTTTAGTGCCAACTGGCAAGGGGGTTACAGAATGTCCTGATTCCGGTATGTATGTTTTGGTTCACCAAAGAGGTCATGTAAGGTCTTAAATGAAAGCGGGGTCACATTCATCATTAGTATCCTTGTGAAATGTGTGTACAGACAATACTGTAGGGAGTAATGTGTTTATCCTGAAAATATGTTTTAAAGTCTGGTTTCAGAGTAGCAGCCGTGTTAGTCTGTATTCGCAAAAAGAAAAGGAGTACTTGTGGCACCTTAGAGACTAATAAATTTATTTGAGCATAAGCTTTCTTGAGCTACAGCTCACTTCATCGGACGCATTCAGTGGAGAATGCATCCACTGAATGCATCTGATGAAGTGAGCTGTAGCTCACGAAAGCTTATGCTCAAATAAATTTTAGTCTCTAAGGTGCCACGAGCACTCCTTTTCTTTTTGTTTTAAAGTCTGTATCAAAGCAAGCTTGACAAACAGGTTTTCTATCAGCTGAGGGATGTTTATTCACCTGTCTCCCTGTTGAGATGTAAATTAAGTATTGTCTCCTTCACAATGAGTCTCCCATCACTGATCTAAGCTGAATGTAAAAATTCCAAATGGGAACTAAGAGCTAGAGAAACACAGCAATGGAAGAGAATCTTCTCTTGTGATACACTTCAGAGTTTTACTGAACTGTATTCAGTGAACAAAGATACCCCATCATCTTGCAACTGGGAAATAAACGGCCGGTGTGTTTACATTCGTTAAAATGGGATCTCAACCAACCTTGGTTGAAATGTTGCAGAGGACCCTTGGGGTGAGGTAAAGCTAAATGTGGTCTCTAGAAAGTGTGTTATGATTTTATTTTATATGTAACTTTGTTTCCCTTTTGCTTACTCGCTATCCCTCGAATCTTGCGTTTTTGATAACACGCTTATTGTTGTTCTCACTATAAATATGCGGTCGTGCTGTGGTATTAAGCGAGGTGCTGATCTTGAGCTGAATCATATGAGCTGGTGTGCATGCTGTCCCTCTGGGGACAGCAGACCTGGAATTTCTGTGAGTGTTCAGTAGTTCAGCTGGACGCTACTGGGCAGCGCTTCAAAGGGGTTTGCGGACTAGAGTGTGCACCTATTGCTCACCTGCAAAGCAAGGTAAGGGCTAGGACT